GTAATGTTTTTATACGTTTTCTTTTTCGTATTTTTAGAGTCCATAAAGCTGATATTTATTTTAGTTACAAAATATATACTTAATATTATAGTTTGAGGATTGCTGAGGGATATGTCGATAGACAGTTTCATGCTATTCATGTAAAAAAAATATATGCGTATATTATACATTGTAAGAAAATTTTGCTTATTGTACACATGTTGCTGAATATAGATATTTTAAAATAAATAAATTTAAAAAAGATAATATAGTCATGTTGAAAAAAAAGAAAATTCCTGTGATCCGTTACAAAATGTCAAAGTTTACTACTTACTCTGCATTATACACCATTTTATAAATACAAAAAAAATGATCTGATTTAATTCAGACACAACATACTCGTACATTAATACAAAAACAACATACATATCACATTTAACTTCACTCATTTTATTTGAACTATAGAATATATAACTTACTTTCTACTGATGATTGTGAAAAATGTAGGTTTTTTTTTATAAATGATGAAAAAGTAGACAAGGAAAATAGTTATATCTTACTATTTATCTTAAATATAAAAGAATTTTGAACATAGTATTAATTTACGTCACGAGTTTCGTAAAAATACTATGAAATACAATTATCTACGTCTTCCATTTCATCAAATATTAACATTTTTTTTTTTTTTAGTACTTTCACTAGTAGTTGTTAGAAGTTTTTAGTGAGTAAATTGTAAAATAATATTTCAAAACACTAGAAGTCCACCAAACTTTCTTAAGTGTAGGTTATTAATAATTTTAACAAAAATAAACAATCAATTATAACTTGAACATTAATTTATTTTTTTATTTATATTACCAATACTATTTTCTGACTGTCTACTATTTTGACGAACCAAGTTCATTTAAACATTGGACAAAATAACAAAAAAATAATAAGTTATGTAATGTACAAAAAATCTAAGATCGATTTTTACTTTAAGGAAGTATTAATAAGTCTCGATACAAAATATTTTTGTGATTATAAAACTTATATATGTACATACCATAACCATGGTCTCAACAATTCACGCAATTTTAGAGTTATCAAACAAACTGTATTTAATACAAACATATTTTAAACTTTATGATGTAATATTTTATTATAATAGTGGTAAAGTGTCAAAAAGCTTAAGCGCAGTGTATGGATAACAACTCCATCACTCAACTACTTTTATTCTGAATCCGAATGCCTTTGCATTAAAAAAAAAACACACAAAAAAATGATAAATTTTATTCTAAAACATTTGTTGAAATTTTTGATATGTACATCAAATGTCTAGGTAAAATATATATATTAATCCATCAATCAATATGTATAGAATACTGATTGGTTTGAATAAGTACAGTGAAGAATTGAATATATTTAGGTTTCAAGTGCTACGTATAGGTATATGTTTATATGCAAGCTAATATTTCGTAAATGTAATAATGTATTGATTAAAAACTGATAATATACTTACAATTTATAAGGGCTACATAAATACTGAAAGCCAGAGATTAACAGCTATAAATTCAGACCTATGATTGTATTGATTAGGTATTTAAAAATTAAAATTTGTCAAAATTCTCAAGCTTATGCAAATTATTTAGTAGTTACAAATTTATAAAAATTTAATTTATTTTATCTATGGATTGAAAAAATGACAAAGTATCACAAAAGTGGTTCTTATTGTTAACAAAAAATCTAAAAAAAAAATTATAAATACAGTTTTTTCCATTACTTTTACATAATAAGTCCAAATTAGATATTTAAACGAAAAATAACGATCCTGGATATTTGTTTATAATTTAAAAATATTGTGCTAATATGGGTGGACAGACAGACCGTCTCCGCTCAGAATCGTTTTTCGTATACATTGATATTATATCACTGAATTAAAATTGAACACCACCCATTACAGTGATCTATTTGTAACCTACTGTACAGTATAAAGCTGTATTCTCATTTTTTTTGTGTCTTTGTTATATTTTTGTTAAAATAACAGTTTAGGTATTATTATTATGATTTATCTCTCAAAAATATAAAAAAACAAAAAAACTGGGCCCCACTGAGACCCTGAGGTATGTGTTTCTAAAATATTTAGCATTCAAGAAATCGATACCGTTATGACAATTAATGTTAATAATAATAATAGATTTCTATTGTTTAACAAAAAATCATGAATAGACGACACCCCAATGGGTAAAAGTGCAGTAAATGGAAAAGCAAAACTAATATTTAAAAAATATCAAGATAATAGTTAAATAACAGAAAAATAAAAATTGTACATCAGCTAATATTACGTATTTTTAACTTCAAACTTGAATAAAAACAATATAACGAACAAAGGCGATTTATGCGTTACATTCAATCAACGACAATACAGATTTTTATAATTTATTATGTTATATAATGATGATTTTTAATAGTTTGAAATATATAAAATATTTATGTTGGAGCGAATTAGATGTTTTTAAAATATTTTTCTCTCTTATGTTATACACTATGTCAACAAAATATTATGTCATCATTAATTTAAGCTTCAGATAAATTCTCTATTGTAAATTGATATTGTAAAGTTTCAAATCTCTCTCGGAGGAGCCCGTATCGGCGAATGAAGCGTTTGAGGTTCTAAACGATTACCTGTTCTGTTTCCTTGTTATGGAGAACCGGAGGAGGGACTGGTGTTCAATTGCTTCTCTCCCGGTCACCATCGTTTATTGTGCAAAAAAATGATTTACAGCAATAGACATCCAGGGATGCGGCCTTTTTCGCTACCAAGTGGACTTTAACTATCGCTAGGTACGTGTCCACATGGAAGCAGAGATCGGTAGGATAGCATTCAAAAAGAAAAAAAAACAAAAACAACTGTGATGCCTGTTTCCAAAGAAGCGCATACATATTAGCGTATAAGCTTATTACATTACTCAGCAGTAAACGAAAATCAGTTTATTGGTGGAACCAAGAAATTGCCAATCTCAGAGCATTTGGCTTCAGGAATAGGCGCATTTATCTTAGGGTGGTGAAGAGATAAGGTCCCTATGGCATAGTAGCTTAAAGAATAGACTTTAGAGAGGCAAGCAAGGGTATGCACTCTTCGATCCACAAATCTCAAAATCTAATCTGGGCTGCGCTTAACCAATCAATTGATAGTGATCTTTGGGGTATGTCTCATAGAATTGTTTTAGGGATATCTGGGCAAATCGCCAGCAGGTATAGCAGATATAGGACGTGAAAATGATATTTACGGATTTATATTTGGAAACGCTTGCCGATGGGCGGTCAAATAAACCCTATCTTCGCTACCACAGATGGCAATAACGTAAATCCTGTTAATGAATGGCCCTGCTCTTATCTCCACTAAGGAGATTATATTATTAGCAGCTTCTTGACTGTCAATGGGCAAAGCGACGAAGTTTGATGGGTTCTCAACGAGATGCTTCCGCTGATCGGCATTAAATCTCCTAATATACTCGTTAATATGTACAACTGATGTTAACAAGAGTTAGTTTTTCCGGTTAAGTGAAAACGGGAAAAACTTTTACTTCTTCATAAAGGACGAGACACCAGCTTCTCTAGCTTTTGGCCTATTTGCATGTTTGATACCACTGATGAGTTATTTGAGAGGATACTCTTACTAATGCTTAACGAGCACCTCCAAAAGCCGGATGGACTCAGTATTAACTAGTTTGGCTTCCAGAGGGGTTGTTAAACTAAGAACGCTATCAATAACCTTCTTGTTTTTGTCAAGTGGGCCAATCACGGGTTTTCTCAAAAGTAGAAAATATACGTCCTGGTAGCACGTCCAGAATGACTTGAACTCCTCGCCTTGGAAGCACATGTATGAAATTCTTCGACAAATAGGGGTCCCTCACTACCTATTGAAAATTTGACGGTCGTACACCGAGAGACGTATACTTACTATGAGGACATCTGTTAGGAGTAGCACCAACAGGCCTATCACAGGGGGTGTCCCGCAATATTTCTTCCTTATCCCCACACTCTGGAACATCTTTTATGAAAACATCCTCAGGATGAACATTTTGGAAAGGATCCAGCTTGTCGGGCTTATAAGAGGACTTAGCCCTTTTTGCTGTTGTACAGATATCAGACTCTCTGGCTGATGTGATTAACCTCACATTATTCGCGATTTATGCTTGAACGAACGACCATGGACTTCATCTACAACTGAAAAAGCTGAGGCCATCATGCTGATTAGGAAATGGGGGTACTAGGATCTGGTATTCTTTGTAGGTTGTCACCCAGTTCTTTTACTAATTAAGGTGTGATACCTAGGACTTCATCTGGACTTGCGCCTAACCTTCAGTATACTTTTTAGTACTGTCTCGAGTAAGTCATCCAGGCAGAACTGGCTATAGCAGTGTTTCTCAACCTGGGGGTTGCCATTTTATTATTTAGGGTCACAATCGAATGATTTAAATCAATGCGAAAATTAAAAGCTTAAATGATAAAAAAATAAAATCAATAAAATATTATATATTACATACCTTTTACGAGTATAGATTATTTATATTAAAATGGAAAACGCACTATTATCAAATTTAATGTTCTATAATGATAATCTAAGCGAGTATGTAAAAAATATTTATGTAAGGGTCGCTAAAAAATTTAAATTTAAAAAAGGGGTCAAAACAGTAAAAAGGTTGAGAAACACTGGGCTATAGGACGGCTTATTCCTAACCTTGGATGATCGTCTCAATCCAAGAGAGCTAATGTTTATATCTTATGTCTGTATTGAACTGCAAGCTACTGTAAGCTTCATTGGCATGGACAGGAAGAGCAACAAAGTACTCTATTTATCTGAATCTTATGATTTGAAGCCAGAGGCTTTTAGCTCTAAGAGTTACGAAGTCCTATCACACAGTCTCTGCTGAGGTACCCGATGGGATACTGCCAAACTCACAATTTTTTACTGTCCTTACTAAGAGCCTAGTCAAGTGACAGTGAATGGGTTCATCGGTGACTGAACATCACTCGAAATGACGTACAGGATCTGCTATGAAGTTTCTCTGATGTCCCGGTTCGCATGTGTGATTGAATACAGACTGTCTCTCAGAGCACCACATAAGCCTTCTACAAAATGGTTGGAGACATACTTAGCTGCAAAGAACCAAATAAGAGGCTGGTCAAGGCTGAAGAAAGATGCAATCCAAGGGTAGTAGTTCCAAACGACTGAGCGCTCTCTGGGCAAACAGCAAAACGGGAACCCCGGTCGGCTGGTGCGTGTGACACTGGGCCTAAAATAGAATTAACTAGCAAGAGACCGATATCTATTTATGTATATTGGAACATTATTGAGCGCTATCAGTGAACAACAGATGTTACTTATGTGTATTATGTAATTCTTGTTATATTTTATGTGTATTTAAATGTATTCGCCAATAAACGATGACAGCAGATTAGTATTTTTGTTGAAACAAAGCTTCCTCTGCTGTTGATGAAACAAGGAAAGAAGTGGTTCAATGCTACACCACTAAACTTGTTTCCTACTAAAATTCTTAAGCGTGAGACGGTGCTCACCGTTAGCGAGTCGCCGTCCCGTAATAATTTAGTCTTTGTGTAGATTATGGAATAAGTAACTTTGGTTTATTCCTATCGAAATTACATTTACAACTATAGGGGACAAGGACAGCTTGACCGGAATCTAACACAGTCGATTCAGCGAACTATTTTCTCGTTGACAATTAGGGAATGGTAATTTTTTACAGTTCAGGTTGGGGCACGTAACACTGTGTCAGGCCCTCTTAAACAAGTGAACCGGGATGCATGATCTAAGCAGATGCGCCCGTGAGGACTAAGATTTGTAAGCCCTGAAAAGAGCTATTTTATGGTTTCCCGGTGTCAACTGTCGGCCGTCGGGTATCAGCCGCACGGAGGGAATATGATCCTCTCTGAGGTCGTGGTGGTCTTCGATGTGTGCCGCTAAACTGTTTCAAAGCCGACATGCCTGGTGATAACCGATTAAACCAGTGAGGTGTCCTTCGAGCTACTTTCCGTCAGTCAGTGAGGTAGGCAACCCGTAATACGTTGTCAGTAAAGACTACATGTCGATGACTGGTTGTTCGTCTATGGTACTGGTTTGATCGACGACGGTACTGTATTCAACTCACTTCTCTACCAAGACTCCGCCTGAGTGTCGTGATGGCGTTCTTTGTTTTGCCGGAACTTGAACACCTGGTCGCTGCTGGTCTGTTTCTTCGGCTTCGTTTTCTTCTGGACTGTATAGTTGTTGAAGTTTTGAAGGGTTGAGGAAGAGTGATTTATCTCGACAAACGGACTGGTATATATGTTACGGTGAAAGATGTAAACGTGGTAAAAGACGTCATTCCCCGGTAAATGACATCATTTACCTAAAAATTGGTAAATGTTGTAAATGCAGACATTCCCCGGTTATTGTCGTCAATCACCAGTTAGTTTAGTTGGAGAATGATGTTCAATACTTTTATGTCGGTGTGAACGAACAGCGATAAGCGTGTAGGTGCCAAATAAGCTTCGTTAGTTAAAAATATCATGACGGAAGTAGATAGATAAACGAAAATCCCAACTAGCAATAACGTCGATAACCCGAGTAATAATATGAGATAATCTATTAGTTTATTAGTTAGTATCTACGGGAATATTATAGCGAGTTGTATATGCGACGAGTGTGTGTTTTATAATATTATTTGTAAAAATTTGTGTCACCAGTGAACAAAGTGTAATAAAAGTTAGATTCAATTATAGTGTTAGTTTTATATAATAAGTATGGAGAACAAATTTAGAGCAGCAATCGACAAAATTGTCAGCAGTAAAAAGAGAGAGGACAACATATTTTATTTTAGTTCTGAAGAGTACAACAACAAAATCAAAAAAATAAAAGAATTAAAAATTGGAACACTTAAAAAAACGGTAACGAATAATAGACTTATACGTAAATATGATGTTGTGTCAATTGGGGGAAAAGAAAAATTGATTAAGCCTATAGTTGATAATGAATCTGACGTTTTATATTACGTCACAGTAGACGAGTTGTTTGAAGTCATCCAAACAGCACATTTAGCAGTAGGTCATGGTGGTAGAAATAGGATAATGGCTGTGTTAAAAACAAAATATTGTAATGTGACAACGGAGGCAGTTATGGCATATTTAGGTTTATGCAGTTATTGTCAAGTAAAACAATTAAATCCGAAAAGAGGGCTTGTGACAAAACCAATTTTACATTCCGCATTTAATTCAAGGGCGCAAATTGATTTGATTGACATGCAATCTCAAAATTATAATAATTATCGCTATATAATGAATTATCAAGATCATTTAACAAAATTTGTTATTTTAAAACCTTTGAAGACAAAAAGGGCCGAAGAAATCGCTTTAAATCTAATAGATATTTATACAATATTTGGTGCACCCGCTATACTCCACTCGGATAATGGTCGTGAGTTTGTAAATTCTATTATAACAAATTTAAATGAAATGTGGGGAGACGTCAAAATTGTGCATGGCAAGCCTCGTCATAGCCAGACCCAAGGATCAATTGAACGCGCGAATAGGGACGTTGAAGAAATTTTGGCTTCTTGGATGGCTGATAATAAATCAAAAGACTGGCCAATGGCATTAAAATTTGTGCAATTTCATATAAATCGGGCTTTGAACTCAGGTAAGCTATTAACTAAAAACAATTTTTTTTTAATAATTTTAATTTTAATTAATTAATTAATAATTTTTTTTTTATAATATTATAAATGTATAATTTATATTTATAATTTTATAATATATTTTTTTGTTTATAATAGGTATTGGAAGATCGCCATACGAAGCGATGTTTGGTTGTACAGCGAGAACAGGGTTAGCTTCAGCAGGGATACCTTACGATGAAATAGAAAAACTTAAGTCAGAAGAGGATATTGAAGAACTATTTAATAACAGCAACCATTCAAATCATATAAATGCAGTAGAAGATGATTTAGTCGATGTTGGAGATCTTGACAATGAAGTAAACTTGGAGACTGAAAATGAATTAAGAAATACTAAAGACATAGGTAATTATTTAATATTTATTTTATGTAATTTGGCAAAAATGCTTGCATATTTCTGCAAATTTAATGGTTGTTGCGTATTTTTACAAAATTTGATTTGCATTGCATATTAAAATAAAAGTTTAAAAAAATAATGTATAAAATAATAAATCATTATTTATTTTTTATTATTTCTTAATTTGTAAATTAAAAAAAAATTGAAAATAAATTCTTGCATATTTTCATGATTTTTACTGCATATTATATGGCATATTTCGATAGTTTTTAGCAAGGCTGGGCATTAACGCGTTAATAAGTTAAAGTTAAGTTAAAAAGTTAAGTTAATTTAACTTTTTAACTTAATAAGTTATTTTTTTTTATGTTTATTAACTTAATTAATAACTTTAGGAGCATTTAAATTAATTTTTAATTAACTTGAGTTAATTTTACATTTAAACAAGTTAAGTTAATTTTAATTTTAATTATTATGTAATGTGTTTTCAATTTTTTTAATTCATGTAAAATTTAAGTACCTATATTATGAAATTACGAATATTATCAATGCCTGTTATTTCGCCATCGTTATAAACTATTTTGGTAATATTATATTTGTTTTATACATTATTATTATTATATTATACTTATTATTAAGAATTAATATCTACATAGAAGATAACGCTAGACGGACTAGACTGTTATGTGGTAATAGTGTAATACCCCGTTTATTTTTGTATAATTTATTATTAGTTCGAGGTTTTCGTCAATTTTTTAACTTAACTTGAGTTAAAAAGTTAATATTACATTTTGGTTAACTCTTAACTTAGTTTAATTGATAGAACATTTTGAATTAACTTTAACTATTAACTTGATTTAGATTTTAATTTAACTTAACTTAACTGAGTTAAAAAATATCATTAACTTGCCCAGCCTTGGTTTTTAGTGTATAAAAATCCGAGCTATATAAATTTAATAAAATTGTATAATAATAAAATGTAAAATTTTTTTATTAAATATAATAGGTTAAAAAATAGCAATTGTCATCTATTTACAGGTAAAAGAATTGAAAAATTAAAGACCAACGACAAAAATCGGTTGTCTGTCTTAAAAAACAAGCGTCAAAAATGTTGAGATTGACTAACGAAAAATTTTCTAAGCTTGATGTCGGTACAACTGTTCGTGTCCCAATACCAGATGTCGATAGAGCAAGAGGTTCTCCGCGTAATTTACTTGCTGTTATTATTTCATGTGAAGATGACATGTATAAATTATGTAAGCCAATTTTAATTTGATAATGTTTATTTAAATTAAAATGAAATAAATACCCGAATGTTTGAATCAGGTACAGAATATGGGGTGTTGAAACACAAATATACACGAGCACAAATTTCTCCGCGTAAATTACCCACCAACAATAAATCATTATTATAAGTAGTACCTATGGTAAAAAAATCAGTGTATTATTTGAGATTTATCATCATTTACCACCAATTTTGGTAAATGACATCAATGGCCGGTGAAACATGTACATTTGAATTTAAAATCTAGTTTTTTACACCATTTACCTACATAATCAAAACATTTTGGTAATAGACGTCATTCACCGGAGAATGACGACATTCACCAATATTCATCTTTCACCGTAACATATATACGCGTTTGTCGATATTGTCTATCTTCTGTTTGGCTAGTTGATCTCAGGTTCGATAGGCCAGTTGTGCATGCATATATGGTATATCAAATGGTGTGGTATTTGATTGCCATAATGTCACGTTTTAGTCTACTCGGTTGTTGGCTTTGAGAAAAGCCGTTTTATTGTATTTTGCTTTGTTACAAGTGTAGATCAAACATTAGTACCTGCACAAAACTATAAACACATTTTCAGAATGGGTAGCTGTGGAATCGCGTAATTCTTTTTGAACACGTTTATAAGGGATAACTTTACCTCTATTATTATATAAATGCCACCTTGATTCATATCAAAATGTCTATGGTGTTTGGTATATATTATATTGGTAGTCGATTGCACTTATCAGGTTTACGTAGCAGACTGAAGTTAAACTCTAATAATATCGCGTGGCATATTGCCTGGTAAATACGAAATATTATAAAATGCATTTTCAGAATTGAATTTAAAATAAAATACATCATCGTTGTTCCTATATGAATGATATGAGTGTTTTATTATTGAACACTCTGACAGAAATAGTTTTCCTAGGAACAAAATAACCAATATATACGATACTAATAAGTAATAATAGTTCATATATTTCAGTGGACTTGAAAATGTCTCTCGTTAAGTTTTTACACCAATAATTATTATTAGCGAAGCACATACCAACATGTTAAATCTAATACCTACCAGCTTTTACAATAACATTACGCTGTATATTCCAGTAAATACGTTATTATGGAATAATATAGCTAGTACTGTAAACGTTATTGTTTTTTTATTAATGCTGGTACTTTTATTATTGGTAGGTACCTACCAATAAACTTTATTGTTTGGAAAATGTAAACGGTGAGTTTATTTTGTGTACCATGAAAATAAATATTAAACGGAGGAATAAGTTTTTCACATAATATCTACCCTTGAACAATTTTGATTGCATTGTTTTATTTGTATAACAAAAATAAGTATTTATTTATATTTAAATTGTTAAAATTCAAATATTATTGTTATGATTTTTGATACCTAACATCACTAATAATTTTTCTTACATAAGTATGTAGAAAAATAATGAATGTTCGTAATTTATAATATGCAAAGTATAATATTTTTCTACTCTCATTTTTTAAATTTAATTTGAGTGTAATTATTTTTAAAAAAATTTTAATTTACCAACTTCCTCCTTTCATTAGAAACATCATATTATCTTATTTAAAAATAAAAAGTCTCACATGGAGTATTAATCAATAATCACAAACCAATATTTTAGAAAAATACTTGTCTTAACCATACAGCTGTATAATTCATGTTCTCTAAAATAATATGAAATAAAATATAATAATATGTGTAAGTTAAAACTATAAACGAAAATCCTTTTAAAAAATAAAAAAGTTGATTTGCATCAAAATGAATAAAAAGTATAAAAAAAATTACTGTAAGTCATGTAAAGTTGTAACACTACAAAAGAAAAATTTATTTATAAACCAACTATATCAGATATTTGTAAAAACTTAAAACTGATTACGTCAAGTTAACACAATGATATAATTGGTGAAAATGTTGAATTAGAAAATATATGAATACAACAATTCAAATAATTGCAGAAAGAGACTATTTTTATTTATTATTCGTAACTAACTATTATAACTAAACTTAGATTTGTGTACAATTAATTATATTTAATATACAAAATTCATTTTATTCGCTAGGTATATAATTACAAAGCCTTTAAGTATTCTTCAGAGAAAAACCAAAAAAAATATTATGTAATATGACCAGGTTGCGTGCTAAGCAATTGGAACAAAAATATTGATATTAAATGACTAATTTGCATTAAAATGCAAAACAGGAGTATTATTTTTACAACAAATTATTATGATTTATATGATATAACAACAATTATTAATCGATTTATGCAAAAAAATAACTAATAAGGTCTATTTTTAACCATAGTAATAATTTTATTTTTATTTTATAATTTTTTATTTATAAACTGTGTAGATATTAGAAAGCGTTACAAATTAGTAATACTTATAATTTACATTTCAATTATATTTACAATACTCGTATCAAAGTAGTTTTTAGAAAAGCTTATGTCAACGAGAATTGAAAATATATATATTTCATTCGATTATAATAATCTAACATGATTAAAATAAGTTTAAAAATTGTTATTACATTTAAGTCTCAATTATTATTAAAATGTTTATCATGTCTTTGTAAGCTACTATGATATTATAATAGTGACGTATGATATGCAGATAACTTTTAACAATATAAAACATATTATACAACAATTTCCGGAAGTTCTAAAACATAAAAATATGGCTTTGAAACTCCCTCTATTTTACTTAAAACAACATATTTTGAAGAACTAAGACAAACATAATATGATATACCTAATAATAAATAATAATACAACTTTATAAGGCCGGTAAAAAGTAATATAATTTGTTTTTATTTGCAAGATAATATTTTACAAATATTCAAAATAAATTATTGCTTCTGGCTTAAGAATATTTCTAAAGGTTTTCCTTCCATCACTCAATTTGGAATTTTTAGTTTCAAAATCATGAAATGGTTTTTTTTATTTGTTTATTTGTCTACTATTGTTATTTATTGTAGATTTTAAACGGAAATATGTTTTTTTTTTACTAACAACTTTTAGAATAGCAAAAATATCTCAACAAATTGAATACATATTATATTGAACTGAAAATTTCATTTTTACATTTCCAAGTAGTTTTTAAATAAATCACGATCGAATAGAATTTCAAAGGTTAAAGAAACAGAAACAAGCTCAACGAATTCGTTTTTGTACAATAAATGTTGCCATGTCAAGGTATTGACCATTTTTGTGTAAACTGAGTTCCGCTCTGAATCGCTCTCAGAATACAATGATGTGATTTATCATTTATTTAAATTTAAAAATAACTGCCTGTAAAATTCCTTAACTTTATAATTTTTTTTTTTTTTTTTTAGTCGTCTCAGTCCCGATCAGTTTATTAATTATGGACCATGGTTGAATAATACAATTTGATACAATAATAGTTACTTTGTCAAGTAAAGTGAATAGTAAAGGTTCCATATAAAATTGTGACTGTTGCCAAATAGGTTCGTGACGCATGTTCTCGAGATAAAAAAATGTCACTACCTTTTTATTTATTTTAACATCCCAGAGAGGCAAACGAGTACATCAGAATGAGGTTTTAGAGTATAGAATAAATTAAAGTACTTACGACCAACATTGAATTAAACCATTAAATTATTTATAATTAACATCTTGATTTGAACTCATTGTAGTTTGCTTAATTGAATATAATTTGAACCAATGAAAAAATAAAAATGTGTCATTGGCTTTTAAATATGACCCATGTCATGGATTTAGCTTTAACAGTGTCCGATCTTCATAACAAGTTCCACCCACTTGCATCTAACACCATGCCCAATGTTGAGTATATAGTTAAATAAGTCCATGGTTACGACTGACATACAAACATCTGATGTAGGTTGTCTTGACCACAAGATACAATAATCCATATTTCTTTACATCTTACATTCTTACCCTATACCAGAGTTTCCCAATTCATAGGTCGATAGTGGGTCTCGACATTTTTTTGATGGGTCGCTACCCACAGTTACGATTACCGTTATTTTAGCCGTAAATTGATATCTCTATATAATGTATAATAAAAATGTAAAGTCCAACTAGTATTGTAGAATGTATGACATCGATTTTACATTAGATATCATTTTTATTTTTTTAGCAGGGGGTCGCCATTGCAAAAACATTTTGGAAACACTGTCCTATACTACCCCGCACAACCAAACATATTGAGTACAAAACGAGAGTAATCTATGTTGTTATACTTTCCATACTATACACTCATTGCATGTCTAGTAGTATAAGGTCTATGTGTGCAAATAATAAGACACTTCTCTTGATACCCCTGTTACAGCTATTGTGTTTGAAATAAATCCTGATCATGGTGGATTATACATTTAAATTTTTACAGTTGAAACAATTGTGATTATTATTTACCATACATCTATTAAATACACCAAAAATCGGTTTTCGGTGATGCGTTATAGTTTCAGCATTTAAATTACGTTTATACAGTCCTAGGGTCGGCAACCCGCGACCCACGGGACGCATGTGACCATCATCGTAATTATATGTGGCCAGAAAGTAAAATTTATAATTTGTACAAAAATCTCGGACTAAGATAAAATGGACTGGAAACAGTGGATCAAAACGTTTAATGTATAACTTAAATATACTACATTTGATATGAGTATATGACCAATCATTTCCGTATAAGCCCTTGAAAAATGTTACATTTATTGTGTTTGGCAATTAACAACAAAAAGGTTGACGATTCCCGACATAGTCCATACTCAATCAA